ACCAATATTGCAGTCAGACAAATCTAATTACTAATTATTTCTTCATTGGACTGTGTGGAGTTCTCTTAACTGTTAATTATACAAATTATTACTATCTGTCCAATTAAGAAAATAATTGGACAAGTACCTATTTAGGATTATAAAGTGGATATTTTTCAAAAGTAACTTAATATGTAGCTATTTCAAAAAAAAAGTTGTCAGAGCGTAACGGCGATTGCACGACCAAAAGTTAATTTGGGTATTTCGTTTTTGATTGAAGATATTCACTTATCTGATAAAAAAAACACTTGCAAACCAAACAAATCACCATTGAAAATATATTTTTAATGGAAACAACATTATTGAGACATCTTGAGTAACAATGACACCAATAATGTACACCCATAGCAACTGCCGGTCGTGCACTCTCTCTTCGTTGTGAAACCCCTTTTTTGAAATAGCTTATATTATACCTTTTCTGAAATACAAAACCATGGTGCATTGTGGTCTAATAAGATGTTTGTACCGAATCTAGACCACAATGCAATGCAAACTAATATCTAAGAAAATGCCTATGGTGGAATACTTACAAGACACCCAAGAGCACATCGTAAAAAGATCATGACATCATCTCTTAATGGAGCAGACCCAGAAACCACAAAACGTACTCTTCCACCAAGGGTATTCTAAGAAAATATGTTTATGAAGTTAATTTTAAAAGTCGTGGATATTATGCATCTGTCAATAGCCGACTTGCGAATTACGCATCAATAGTCACATACAAAGGAATCAAGACGAGGCGCCGTGCTTTTTTGTGAAAAATATATTGTCTTTAGCACGGCGCCTCGTCTTGATTCCTTTTTATGTTACTATTGATGCGTAATTCGCAAGTCGGCCATTGAAGCCACAGCCCCTCCACCCCCGGGTAATACCGGAAAAATCGACATTTCAAACATGTTTAAAAGTCCTCGCATTTCCTGGCCATTAGAGGCCAAAACGTCGGCTTAACTGATCATTTTCTCTCATGTAGACGTTAATTCCTCCGCCTTAACGTTGATTGTGCTGACAAAACAGTGTGTTAAATGACATAAATCCCCGGCTATAATGTGTTAATTCGCAGGACCATCCCGAGGGTCAAGGGGCCGCGATTTCAATGACTGATGCATTAAACCATACATAAAAGCCCCTTTTCTGAATAGCTGATTGACAGTAAATATTCCTCTTAATCAAGTGCAATTATTTCATCAGTTTTTGTTTGTCGAGGGGGACATTGGGTGGCTCTGAATACCGCAATACCGCAAAAAAATTTCAAAAATCCCGCATTACCGCATGAAAAAATCGATTAGAAAAATTAGATCTGCAAGCATTTTTCTCGCAATACCGACATTTTAAGCGATTTTCCCGTAATACCGCATCTTAAAACTTCAAATACCGCATATCGCACAAAATAMAAATCCCGCATTATCGCATTTATTTTGCCAAATTACCGCAATATCGCATGAAAAAACGGTCAATCCCGCAAACCCCAATGTCCCCCTCTTTGTCCGAGACTCGCATTCATAGTATTTGATGCTGGATTACTGGATTCAATAAAAAATCGCTTACTATCACTTGTGATACACACATAACATGATTATTTTCAAGAGTCGAAATGACTCCGTAACTGAGTGTGTAAATCCGCCCTCACCTGTATTTTCCTAAAAACAAGGTAGTCCCACAGACTGTCTCTCCTGATAATATTACTGAAATATCAAGAAATACAACGTCTTTATACTATCAAAACAATAGTCGAGTTTCGCGATCTCTTTACGCTGTGTTAGCCTAAATTGTGTTCTAAAATATTCAGAAATGTAGATAAAACTCGTGAGATTACAAACTATTTCCATTTCCTATTTCTATGCTCACAGATCTCTTGCATTTGCACGGGCTGTTGTGAATAAAATAGTTTATTACATGGTTTTGAGGCTAACACAGCGTAAAAGAGATCGCTAAAAGGGTTTATTACACATATGAACACAGCTAACATATGAAACTGTCAGAATATAAATTCGGCAGAGCTTTTTGGAGTTTTTACCCTACTTGTTGTTACAGTGGATTTCTCTTCTTTACTAGATATTTTTCTTTTGTATTTAAAATATATATATAAAATACAAAGAAAAACACCTCGAAAACTTCTGGAAGCAGGGTTATGGTTTTCCTTTATCTTTTAAAACTTATAATATTATGAAATCTGCAGCGACGCCATTTTGTGGAGCAGAGCATGATGGTAGTTGTTCCCCTCGTACTTTTAAAACATCTCCCTAAGAGCTGTTTTTACATTTTCTTTGTAGAAACGGTAAAACTAATTCTACCTTTGCCTAGAAAAATCAAAAACTGCTTGGGAGGACTGTTGTAGCGGATATGAAAAAGTACGAGGACTACAACTACCATCATGCTTTGCTGCACAAAATGGCGCCGCTGCACATTGCCTATTGAAGTATCTCAACAACATACCGCTCAAGCTCTGCTTTCTTAAAGCTCATGGCAGTATCAAAAATGAATTTTTTTATAGCACTTCCTGATACATCTTTGATAACCTGAAAACAATTGTATTCAAACATTAAAAATAAACAAACAAGGATTATATTTTGATTTTTATATAGCTTATCTTTGTAAAAGATAAAGAGGCACTTCCAAAAAATTCAAGATTACAGAGCAGCCTAGTGTCAGCTAAAAGCAATATAATAACCAGGAGCGGCACAACTGGGGGTGTGGCAGGGATGGGCAAGTCGTACGCAAATCAGGGCAAATCTCTTAAAATGATTTTCCATTGTGTTTTCTAATAAATTATGAATAAAATTTTTAGCAAAATATGCTGTGCAGTAGCTTATGTTGGAATATGATAAGCAATATGAAATATTCATGTTCAACATTAATGGTAAAAGTTTCTCGCTCATGTTTACTGAACAAACCTCACAGCTGCTGCAAGAGGAGTCTAATACATATTATTTATAAGTTTCAAAAGCTTCATACAAGCAGTAAATAGAACAGTGCCCTGCCCCCCCCCCTTTCAAAGCATGGGTGGCATGGGTGATCTAGTGGTTAAGCTACTGGCCTCTCACCACTGTGGTCCGGGTTCGATTCCCGGGCACGGACCACATGTGAGTTTGAGTTTGTTTGATGTGTTGTTCTCTCCCTTGCCACAAGGTKTTTTCTCCGGGTCCTCCGGTTTTCCTCCCTCAGTTAAAATTAACATGTGAGGAGTGTTGTGTGCTAAAATACTTAATGTAGAGGTAGTGAGTGTGAGAGTACAGGGYCCKCAGTAATTGGCTCACGCTGTTGCGGTGTCCCTGCCCCAAATAGGGGCAAAAGCTAATAAAAAAGCCAAAAAAGCATGAAAACCATACATTTATACGACATCATATTGACGACAAAGTGAGAATTTGGTATGTAAGGATCCAATGAAAATCCTATATACGCCCATGCAGAATGCACACTATTATATAGCTGTAACATCATTGACATAGGGTACAAATCAGCCACACTTATCAAGTCAACCAACAAGTTACATCATGTTTTCAACCTCTTACAGACCTTGTCGTAGACCCTGTTGAGAACTCTAGGCACTGAGACAAAAATAGTTGGCCTAAAATTGACAAAGAAAAAAATGAATTTTTGATTCAATCAAATACAAGACCAGAGCTTGGTACATATRGATCGCTTTCACCCATTCCCATGAGATTCAAAAGATAAAAGACCGGCGGCCATGTTGGAGGAATGAACAATAGATACTAATGAGAAATCCTTTGTTAAAGTTCCTCCAAGATGGCCGCTGTGAMGTAACCTGAAAACGAAGAATAGGATGAAATGATGACCTTGAACACTAAACAAAGTTGTTGTTTTGTGTTATTTTTTTTTCTTTTTTTTTTTTGTATATTTCGAGTATGAACATGTGTTATTAATCACCTTCTTAGCCTCCTTTTTTATTGCGAAGGAGACTAATGTAATAGATACTGGAAATATTAATGCAAATTGCAATACTCCACTTTACAGTTCCAAGCGCCATCGTGAAAGGTAACCAAGCTTTTGCATCAAAGTGAGACAGCAGTTGAGCCTGCAGTGAGATATATACTTTTTGTTCACACCAAAGACAATTATTCACAGGAATCTATCATTGCAAACACAACTTTGGTCTTCAAAATGGCACTTAGAATTGTATGGAGTTTTACATGTAAGTCACTTAAAAATTCATATTGACATTTTTTCCTTTGACATCTCAGTTTTCCTTGACTGTAGTGCTTCAAACATCTTTTATGGCATCTTTGCTTAACAAATTGTTGCCTTTAGCATGTGCCATGTTTGTTAGTAGTTTGTTGTAAAATGTTCTCAAAATAAACCTAATTGCTAATTTCCTAATTGCTCATCTAAATGCTGAGCTAAATTTCTTTCTTGACAAGTTTTCATGACAAGAGAAAAGCCTTGTCATAGAAAATTTAGGTGCTTAAGTCTTACTTCAGATCTCTCAAGTCATCCATGATTTTTCTGATATTTCCTCCAAAGAACCCAACTCTACCTCCATAGCAGATGATCAGCAGCTGGAAATGAAAACAAACACAATTTTGTTCAATCAAGAAATAATTAGACTCGAAAAAAATTTTTTCGTCCAATCTTCAGTCCTTTCAAAATAAGCCGGCGGCCGCTGGAGTTCCAGCACTTATTTCTCWGTTAATCGCCGGCTACTATAAAARAGTATACTTAATATTTTTACTTGACTTTTATTGCCACTTATTGGACATAGCCACCTACTAAATTTCCCTAACCATCTACTTGTAATCATTTTGAAAGCACTGAATCTTAGCAGTCTTTAAAATTTTCCTCATCCAATTCTTTCTTAATGGACAGCATGGAGTCCTACTACATATCATTATAATAAAATAGACTTACCTGAGCCAGTCGTTCATACATATGAGCAAGAGGAAGATATGATATGTGAACATCATTGTTATCAACAGAGATACCACACTGTAAAGCAGAACAAAAACAGATTAAACAGGTTAAGGGACTGTTCATTTTATATCAAAAGGGAGGGAGCTAGTGATTTTGAGGGGGCCTTCAAAACAAAAACCATGTTAGAGGGGGTACATAYAAATTCATTATCCTATATTACTAGTATATTCAATAAAACACATTTCTTAAGAATCAAAAGAGTGGGGGATCATGTCAATAAGATTTATTTGAAAAAAATGCAATACAACAGGGCTCAAAATAACGACCAGACATATGCGTAAAAATGTGTGAGGTCAATTTGTCCTTTAAAAACCCGATTTGGTCAGTCATCTAGCGAATTTGGAAGGACATTGTCCTTTGACCAGCCGTTATTTCGAGCCCTGAATACAACTAGGGCTGGCTTTTTTTCACAAAAGTTTCAAAAACCAACCCCCTTCCCCCTCCCGATAAAAAATGACCAGTCCCTTATACCATCATTAACTATTCAATTCACACATGAATATTGTTTGCACTTGAAGAACGCACACATTCAAATTAATAATACTTTTTCACTGTACCTTTTGAACTATTTGGATAAAACTAGACAGCATTGCGATGACATTGCCATGAGTAATCATGGCTCCCTTGGGATTTCCTGGAAAACAAGTCATAGACTGTTTATATMATTATACACAAAATCACTCAGATTAAACTACGTTCATTTTCTAGTCACTATTAGTTGGATATTTTATATCAATTAGATACTGTTAAATCTCCAACAGAAGATCTCTTGTAAGTCAACAACTCTAGGCRGTATTGGACAGTTATTTCGCACAAAAGACTGTTCGCCCAAGTTTCRAACTGTTCACACAATTCTTATATCGATCGATGAGTAGTCATTTCGRACAGAAAATGATACGACAYAAAGAAAGATATGAAAGGTATATTCCATAGTATTCACTCTTTGATTTTTGGATTGTTGATTGTTTGTCATACCCAWTAGCAGCARCATTTACGAYAGAGAGCAAACTTAGACTGACTTATGAAATCAGCTAATTATAATGACAGCTTTCAAAAACCCTGTTTTTCTTACATGTTACATGCACTGTAATAGTCAAAGTTTGCTAAATGTATATTGTAAAGATCTCTATTGTTTTCAAATTCTGATAAGCATTGCCTGCSAAAATTGCATTCCTTTCTTCTGTTTAGAATACTACATTTTACAKTTCCAAGTGCCATCTTGAAAGGTAGTCAAGCCTTAGCATCAAAGCAAGACAGAAGTTGAGCTTGCAATGATAGATGATGTCTTGTGAATAACAGTCTCCATAGCAGTTCCCTGCGCCCTCTTGAAAGGTAGCCGCATTGAGCTTGCAATGACAGAAACCTTCTTTCACATCTACAGACAATTATTCACAGGTWTCTATCATTGCACGCTCAAYGGTYGTCTCGCTTTGATGCAAAGGCACAACTACCTTTCAAGATGGYGCAGGGAACTGTGAAGGAGACTATTATCTTGTGAATAAACGGTATCWATCACTGCGGGCTCAACTCCTGTCTCGTTTTGTCAATGCAAAGTCTTGGTTGTACCATTCAAGATGGCACTTGGAACTTCAAAATGGAGTATTCCTTTTTATTCATGTAGGGTTCTCCTTAATAGTCTCCATCACTTTTAGTTGTGCCAACCTGAAAGGTAGCCGCACCTTTTTTTCCAAGTGAGCCAACTGTTGAGCGTGCAATGACAGATACCTGTGAATAATTGTCTGTAGGTGTGAAAGAAGGTTTCTATCATTGCACGCTCAATGGCTGTTTTGCTTCAATACAAAGGCATAGCTACCTTTCAAGATGGCGCAGATAACCGTGAAGAAGACTATTGATAAAACCCATAGTTTACTATTGGTGAATAAAGTATTTACCAGTAGTTCCACTTGTATAGCAAACAACAGCTAAGTCTTTTGATGTGGGAAGCTGAAAACAAAGATTATACTAGGGATTATGTTTCTATTTCAGGGGTTGAAGTCACGAATGTCATTTTAACCAATAAAAACATAACATTTTGAAGAGTTACTAGAACGAAAAATGGATGTTAGACGAACATTTTCTTTAAAATTATATCAAGCGTGGCAGAATCTCCCCTTAGAAAAAAAAATCCAGAGCAACTGTTTTACATCGATCATGCGCAGTTACTTGGACAGGTGCACTGGGTATGAGATTGGAGTAGTATATATGGAGAAAACAAGAAAAAACAGAGAAATAGAGTACAAGCATTAAATGTGTGCAACACTTTCCACTATCTACTACAAAATAGTATTAATTAACAATTGAAAACAATAGAATTAGCATAATTTAGCAATATTTAGTGGTATTTATGTTGCACGGTTTTAGTGCTTGTACTCTTTGTGTATTGTTAAGTATAAGCTACTCTTACCTTCTTCTCGTGCACGTGTTCTTTCCCCAGTTTCTGCAAAAATTAAAGAACAATACCTGAGTTCATAACTGTCTTTCTTGGGATACCTGTGGTACATGATAACACAGGGTTCCCAAAACCRCACGTACCTCTACATCCACAAAATCAACAATTTTAATCCCACAATCTTCTGCTTTTTTCATATCCTCTTCCTTTACATCCCCATCCAGTTTGATAATTCTTTTTAAAGTTGGACACTTGTCAATTCGTTCTAAGAGTAGTGGGATTTTCACTGGATCGCACACAACGGTATTCATTTTGGCTGAAAATATAAACAGGATGCTTCAAAATACATGTATAATCACAAATATAATATCACAAGTTATGTCAAAATTATGAATTCCTCACCAACAAAAAGTATTTTTGTTATATTGCAAAGTGATAAACAAGTGGCGTAAAAATGACATGAATCATGAATTATGTGGGATTATACGCAATTTAGTAAATAATAATAATAATAATAATAATAATAATAATATGTGGTATTTATATAGCGCCGATATCCTCTGAGTTCAAAGGCGCTTCACATGTATAGATAATTTCACACGGACCGCTGTTTAAGGCGCAATTGGCAGCCACACGGCTTACAATCATGAGGGGTTAGTAATTAGTATGGGTTAGTAGTAAGGCCTAGCCACACACACCGGGAATCATTCCCTACTCTTATGCGAACAGTGGTGTGGGTTCTTTAACGTCCCTCTAATACAGGTTAGTGAGTGAAGTGTAGAGAGACGGGACCTCCGATTTTACGTCGTTATCCGAGAGGACGAGAAGATCTTACCATTTGCAGATGGAGAAAGACAAAGGCAGCAACTTCTCCTCAATTATTTTTAAGACCCTGAGTGTTGGTCCGGCCGGGGTTTGAACCTGCAACCTCCCGCACTAAAGTCCGATGCTCTACCTACTGAGCTAACCGGTCTGCGGTTTAAATTATGTAAATTATGCGGAAATGGGGCAATTATGCATGTCCGCATCTGCGCATAATTCCGACATGCCTGTAAAACCACAGGTTYCTTGCTCAACTTGTTTTCTAACTGCAAAAATTGGCCATTGTCATAATGAATCTTTTGTACTTTGGTTATCCGTTTTCCCAAGGATGTCCGCTTAGGGGTGATTCAACCATAGTAAGATATACACCGATGTCATTAAAATGGCTGCCTCTCGGAGGAGGAATGGGGCGAGCGCGAGAACGAGGCATTTTAGGATAAAACATGGCGTCTTCTGTAAAGCTACACGAGTGTGATATTCCTGGTTCTTCTTTAGATGGTCGAAATCCATCAATTTTAAAAAATGATGAATTAAGATTTTGGCTGAAGTGTCGGGGCGATCGGGCAAAAGGATTAAATACGAAAGCACAACTTGTAAAACGGTAAGTTCAGCTTTTTAACTTGTTGTAGTCTTTTTGATTGACCTCAAGCGTGCAAATAAAGTGTCATATTCCTTACTAAGTCAATGTTTCTCGTCAATTTTGTAGCGTGGAAGAATATATTTCTCAAGGAAAAGATCAAGATTTAGTGGATCCTGATCCTAATCAAATATTCACGAAGAGGAAGTTGAATAAACAAGGAAAACTGCTCCATGACACAACGACCGCGTCTTCTTTGCAACTCACTTTAAAATAMCCCGAAGATGGCTGGACAACATCTYTTTCTAAAATGCCTTTTTTCACCAGAGCGGAGATAGACAATCATATTAGAGAAAGTGGGAAAAGGATAGGAAGCAAAGACAACCATTCCGTACCAACTAGTTGGAGAAAGGGTAAAACCTTTCTTGAAGACGAATATTTGAAGGACATTGAATGTTCAAGTGATGACCACCACTTCTATTTCCGTTGCCAGTGTTATCACTCCTTCAAAAAAAATGATAAACCTCACTCTCTGAAGCTGACATTAAGTATGATTACAGGAGAAGTACTTCATTCTGTCTGTTCATGTGTTGCTGGTAAAACTGGATATTGTAATCACTCTCTGTGCCTCATGCTGAAATTATGTAAGTTCTCTATGTACAGAAGCAAAACAACAGTCGATTTATCAAGTGAAAGTGATGAAAACCCTCAGTTAGCGTGCACATCAAGCCTCCAGAATTGGCATAAAAGAGGAAGAGGGGAAACAATTGTGCCACAACCAGTAATGGACATTATAGTAAAGAAAACCAGACTGGATGATGCAGAACACGACTCTGGCCTTAAGTGCAGTCTGTATGAAGCTAGGCAAAACCCACAACTAGATGGGAGTGAAGTTAATGAATTTATGCAGACATTGAGGGATATTAACCCAAAAATGGGCCTAGCTCAATTAGTTTCAAGCAAGTCTGATTGTCTAACGGACACAAAGTATGGCAAAAGTCCTAAGGGATCCTACTTGAGTTATCAAGTGTCCCATACAGAGTCTAACTTTATTGTGGACATGGATATAAGCAGTATTGATAGAAAGGAACAAAGCATGCCTATAGAGGCTTTTCCAAGATTTCCCCTAACTGTACTTGAGGAAAATGAAMAACATGACTTAACTGATTTGCAACAAGAATTTGTAATGTCCCTTTCTGTATCAGAAGACAAGATAAATGAAATTGAAAGAAATACWAGGGGGCAAGCAAATTGCGASTTGTGGAAGGCTGAACRAAAGWACAKATTTACTGCTTCAAGGTTCRGCCTTATCTCAAATAGGAAAAGAAACCATGACACTTTTTCTTCAAATTTAATGCATCCAAAAGATGTCAAGTCCATCTATACCACTCATGGAATTAAATACGAAGGAACAGCAATCCACGAGTATATGCGCTGCATGAACAGCATAAAGAAACCAATCGAAGTATACAAATGCGGTTTTGTTGTATACAAGAAAGAGCCAATATTGGGGTGCTCACCAGATGGCAAAGTCATTGATTCAGGGGCAACTGAGCCTTTCKGAATAATCGAAGTGAAGTGCCCTCAAACCAAGTTTATGGTGACTCCTCAAGATGCATGTTCGGATGCAAATTTCTTTTGCACCTTTACCAATGGCCACTGCAGACTGAAAACCTCTCACCAATACTATGCACAAGTCCAGGGACAGATGGGAATAACAGGTGCCAAATGGTGTGACTTCATAGTTTACACAAAGAAAGGCATGTCAATTGAAAGAATACCATTTAATCCTGAATACTGGCAAGATCTGGAGAGTAAACTTATAGCTTATTATTATAATCACTTTATTTCTTTCGCTGTAGATGATTTTCTTAAAAGTTCTACAGTATCTGCACAGTAAATCAGTAGATGGTTTCACAATTCAAGGTCAAGTTAATTTAATTTGTTCATGTTCTGTGCTGTAGTATTTCAGCAGATTTTATATTTACTATCATGTAATCAACAGTTGATTTCAAATCCAAATTTACTATGCAGTAGTAATCAGCAGATCATTTTCAATTTACTGTGCAATAGAAATGTTTTAGGTTATTTAAGATGTAGATAATGCAAGATCATTATTTAAAAATAAAAGTATTTATTAAGATAAAATTGGGTTTTGTACATTACACAGAAAAGCACATACTGTCCACATCTGATTTACAACTGGAAATAAGGATAAAGGGACATATCTATCCCAAATGTGAAAATTTTTTATCTTATTTATTGCCCTCTCAACATGAATACGGAGGCTTGCTATTTCTTGTGTTTTGATCACTTGTTCTGGTGTCATTTGTTCATCTCCCCCTAAGAATGGTGGGATGTTAAGGGATACACCAAGAGGGAGAATGTCTTCAACTGTAAACCCTTTGTCTGCCATAACACTGTCTTTGTCAGTGAAGGGAAGATCTAAGAAGCCTGATCTCTCTACTATTGCTCTATCTGAGATGCTTCCAGTGTACAGCTGACTGATGTAGGTAATTGMTCCAGAGGGTGATATACCAACTAAGCCTTTAAGTGTGGTATTGTTCTTATAAGAACTAAATAATTGGCTATTCAAAAGCAAGCTACTCGGCATTTGGCATTTAATTTCCGTGCAGTCAATTATAACTCTAGTGCTAGGATATTTCGTCTTAAAATCCTCGGGCATTGCGGCATGAACATCTTCTCTAGAGGGCCAAATGTTAATAAGTCCAAAACGCAGATACATAAAATTAATCCACGATATAAAATTGCGGCTTACTGTAGTTTCTGAAACGCCAAAAAGAAATGCTAGATGTTTTACAGGCATTGCTTGCCGCAGTCGACACAACGCCATAAGAAATTCTTCTCTTGGTGTGAGGAGTCTCGGACGGCCACGCTTATTATGCTGAACCATGTTGTCAGGGTTGTAGTGATCCTCGCCAACACTTTGATCTTTAGATAACCAGTAGCGAATATTTCTGCCATTATCTCCAGGATTCAAGTACTTAAATGTAGCTTCGAATGTTCTTAGATTTGGGAATCCAGTATAAAAGCAAATAGTTGCATCGTCGGAAAGATTTTCCAAACAAAAAACACGTGGCTTCAGCTTTAAATATTTCTCATTGAGTTCGGCGCATTGTTGTTGTAAATGCTCGACTTCACTTAACAAATCGTCCTTTTCTTTGCACAAAGCGGCTATTTGTTTCTGTTGTTCTTCTAATTGTAGTTTTAATTGAAAAATCTCTTCATTACAGGGTTCTTCTGTCGCAGTACTCAGTGAAACTTCCTCAACAGCACTAGCCGAATGACCTTCTTCAGAAGCGCTACTTGTTATTATGGTTGCGTCGACTTCCAGTTTTTTTTTCGCGCGATTATTTCTTACTGGATCCATCCTCATAGAAGGAGCCGGTCGCTTTCTTGGTGAAGTACGCCAGTTAAACTTAGTGGGGAATACTTCATTACGTCTTTTTAGAGACATTTTTCCGCTGTATCCTTTCTGGATGTCGCACGGTTCGAAGTGGAGAGAGCATACTTTTGTATTCTCGTTTAAGTTAAAGTTTTTACCAGGATCTCTTCTGATCTTAGCCAGCCAGACTTTCTTTAGTGATGTATCTTTTGGGAAGCTAAAGAAACCAACCTTTTCTCCGTTAGGGCCAATAGTTCCCTTTTGATTACAAAGAGGAACGCAGCAATGTATATTCGATCGCGAAGCCATGTTTATGGTCATTTGCGGTATCCTAAAATGCCTCGTTCTCGCGCTCGCCCCATTCCTCCTCCGAGAGGCAGCCATTTTAATGACATCGGTGTATATAGATAGATATAGCAGAGTGAATAGATACATAGATTGACTAAGAAGTAGAATTAAAGTTGGGTCTACCCAGACTAATAACAATATAATTGAATATAATATGGTACCTTGATTA